CGCTGCTGCAACTCTCGAGCAAGGAAGTAGCGTAGAGCGATGTGCTTCGTTCTGTGCTCCAGTCTGTGCTCCTGACACAAGGCAATCATGGCCTTGTCGTCGACGTACAGAACTGGAGGAGAACGAGGCGGCTCTCCCAAGTTGGTCAGCAGGTAGGTGAGCCAGCGTAACTCTTGTGCAGCCATGGCCCCTGCGTAGATCTCAGCCTCACAACTGGAACTGAGAACAGAAGACGAGCGGGTAGACCGCCAAGAAACAGAGCCGGAGCCAAGGCTGAAGGAGTAACCCTGTGACGACCGCTGCGTAGCCAAGTCGTCAACCCAAGAAGCGTCTGCGTGACCAGTGAGGACAACTCGAGCCCGTCCTCCAAGCACGAGCCCCATGCCCGACGTACTGCACAAGTAGCGCATCACCCTCTTAGCTGCCTCCCAGTGCTCTGGTCGGTGTCTCCCGGGCGCAACGTAGCGAGCCAGGATGCTAAGAGGGTAAGCAAGGTCAGGTCGAGTGCAGGTCATCAGGTACATGAGGCAGCCCACAAGCTCTGGATACGGGCCGCTCGGCTCTACGGACTCATCCGAAGGCAGAGCTGAGAGCGAGTGACCGGTAGGCAGAGGAGTGGACTGTGGCGAGGAGTACGTGAAGCAGAAGCGCTGAAGGACCTGCTGCACCATGTGTGACTGAGTCAAGGTAATGGTGCGCTGTGCTCTGTCCCGCATGATCTGCAAGCCAAGATAGCTGCGCAGCTCACCCAGGTCTGTGCACGTGTGTCTCTTCTGCAGCTCCGACTTCACGTGGGCGAGTCCCTCAGTGCCAGCAGTGGCAAAGACCAAGTCGTCGATGTACACGAGGATGTAGAACGGCGGCAGCGAAGTGTCGGTGCGTAGAAACAGCGACGGGTCAGCAGTAGAAGGAGCAAACCCAAGAGCCGCAAGAGTCGTTCTCAGTGTGTCGTGCCACTCGCGAGGCGCCTGGCGGAGACCGTAGACTGGCCGCCGGAGGCTCCACTGGGTACCTGCAGGAAACGACCCAGTGAAGTCAGGTGGGCAGCGCAGCCAGATCTCCTCGTGCAGGCTGCCCTGTAGGAAGGCTGTGCTGAAGTCAAGAGAGTGAAGCTCGTAGTCACGCTGTGCGGCAACGTGCAGCAGCACCCGAAGAGTGGTCATCTTCGGGGTAGGGGAGAAGTTCTGGAAGAAGTCAACTCCCTGTCGCTGACTGAAGCCTCGAGCAACGTAACGCGCCTTGAAGACATGCGGAGAACCCGGCGGCCGCTTCACCCTGAAAATCCACATGCCACTGACGATGTTCGCCCCAGGTGGGGGAACCTCGTCGACGTAGGTGCCTGTGGACTTCCAGGAAGCCATCTCTGCGTCCATGGCTGTCTGCCACTGAGAGGAGTAGGGACCCTCAATCGCCTCTGCGTAAGAGCGCGGGGTCGGGATGTCTGGTGCATCCGGGTCACCCTCAGGTGCAATCAGCATGGACACGAGATGAGGTAAAGCAGCTGCAAAACACTCAAAGTCCTCCTACCTGTCCTCAAGGATGTCCGTGCCAAGAGCACACTCACCCCCGACGGACGGAGGACAGACAGACTCAGACTCAGACTCAGCAACAAGACTAGCGGCGTAGTCTAGACGACAGGCGGCAGCAAAGTCAACCAGCTCAGCAACTAGGGCAGACGCATCAGTGGACTCAAACGAAGGGTCAGTGACAACAGTGGCTAGAAGACGTGTGACAGTAGGACTGGCAGCACGAGCAAGGTCTGAAGGCGGGTCAGCAACGTCAGGAAGAGAGGACGCAGGAGGAGACGGGAGAGGGACACGCTGTGGAACAGAGGAAGGATGGAGTGCCATAAGGTGCGTGCCTGGGACAGGAGGAGGACGCGGACGCGGAACACGACGACCAGTGCGAACAGTGCGAACAGGCGACGCAGGACGAGACTCAGGCTCACGACGCTCCGCAAGATCTCCGGTCGGCCCAGTGTAAGGAGAAGGACCTGGCAGTGGGGAGGCTGGCTGTATCTGCGACTGCGACTGGTCAGGCGGTGGACACAGTAAGGGAGGAGTAGGGCCAGTAGAAGGCGGGAGACCAAGAACCTGCTGAAGCAGTGGAACGAAGTACGGTCGCGGCCGCGCAGCTCCTCCAGAACCAGCACCAACAGCACCAGTACCCCCAGCTCCAGGGTCTCCAGCTCCAACGCCTGCAGTACCACCAGCTCCAGCACCTCCAGCAGCTCCAGCTCCAGCAGCACCTCCAGTACCTCCTGCTCCAACTCCTGCAGCACCACCAGCTCCAGCAGCTCCAGTACCTCCAGTACGAGCACTTCCGGAACCAGCGACTCTAGCACCTCCAGCACCTCCAGGAACAGCAGCTCCAGCACCTCTGGCTCCCACGCCCGCAGTACCACCAGCTCCAGCAGCTCCAGTACCTCCAGTACCTCCAGTACGAGCACCTCCGGGACCAGTGGTTCCTGCAGGGATAGCATTCCAGCCCGCTAACCGACTGGGATAAAAGGGCATGTTTTCCTTGGTGGGTCAGCGCACCCATACCCCCCCAGGACGACGACACCTGTAGCCCTTAGGGAGACCACTGTGGGCTATTCCAGTGTCCACTTCCAACACTCCCCTCACTGGGAGGGCCCACCACTAAGGCACAGGAATTCGCCGACAGCAGGAATCGAAACCCGGTCCTCCACGCTCACTGCACCATGCAGGGATAGCATTCCAGCCCGCTAACCGACTGGGATAAAAGGGCATGTTTTCCTTGGTGGGTCAGCGCACCCATACCCCCCCAGGACGACACCTGTAGCCCTTAGGGAGACCACTGTGGGCCATTCCAGTGTCCACTTCCAACAGTTCCAGCAACTCCAGCAGCTCCAGCTCCAACGCCAGCAGCACCTCCAGCTCCAGCAGCTTTAGTACCTCCAGCTCCAGGGCCTCCACCAGCAGACCCCCCAGCTCCAGCAGCACCACGCCGAAGGCTCCAGCGCCGAGCAAACCACTTGCGCAGCTGCGGTGGAGAGAGAGGCTCCCGCCGTGACGAGGCACCTGTAGGACCTCCAGCAGACTCAGCACCCCCAGGCTCAGCACCCCCAGTCTCAGCACCCCCAGGCTCAGCACCCCCAGGCTCAGCACCCCCAGGCTCAGCACCCCCAGACTCAGCAACCTCAGGCTCAGCACCCCCAGGCTCCGCAACCTCAGGCTCAGCACCCCCAGGCTCCGCACGCTCAGACTCAGCACCCCCAGGCTCCGCACGCTCCGGCTCAGCACCCCCAGCAGCACCACCCCAAGCAGCACCATAGTCGACAGCGACCTCAACAGGCTCGACAGGGTCTACCTGAGACACACCTGAGGGAGCAGGACCCTGAGGGGGGAGGGGGTCTACCGGAGGAGGACCTGGCGCAAGGAAGAGCGGCGGGGGGGGAGCGGGGCAGTGCGTGTCACAATCCTAAGTTAACTAGGAACCGGGTTTAGGGCCTAGGCTTAGAAGCCTAGGCCAAGCGGGTGTCGAGAGAATCGTGGCCAAGAGTAAGTGAGAATGTGTGTTGTTCACTATAGCACACAAGGTACATATAGCAAACTAGCAAAGGTGCACCACCAACAAGGAAACATAACTACACTAGAGCTAAAGCTACAGGCAGGTATAAACATATATAAATATATATCGCGACACACCCCCTTAGCTGCCTGCAGCACATAGCTAGAGTAAGTCACACCCCCTGAAGGGGTATTGCAGTCGTTGTGAAAGACGGTAGAGAGGGAAGTGAGGAGGAGGAGGCGAGAGAGAGACAGGGGAGGAGAGGAGATAAGAACAAAGGAGGAGGTGAGTGAGGGATGAGGAGAGGAGGTGGGGGGGTGGCCGCGGCGTCCCCTCTTACTAACCCCCTTTTACACAGGGGGGGTTGAGTGGGGGATGAGGAGTGGAGGTGGGGGGGTGGCCGCAGCGTCCCCTCTTACGAACCCCCACATCCCCACCCCCAATCAACCAACCCCCTGTAACCTCACCCCCCATTTCAACCGCCCCCTGGAACCGCACTCCCTCCCTCCTTTTCTTCCTCCAGACCCCTCCCCACCCACGATGGTCCCTGTCCAGTTCTTCACAGGTGGGGCTGCTGGTCACAGGTGGGGCTGCTGGTCACAGGTGGGGCTGCTGGTCAAAGGTGGGGCTGCTGGTCACAGGTGGGGCTGCTGGTCACAGGTGGGGCTGCTGGTCACAGGTGGGGCTGCTGGTCATAGGTGGGGCTGCTGGTCACAGGCTGCTAGTCACGGGTGGGGCTGCTGGTCACGGGTGGGGCTGCTGGTCACAGGTGGGGCTGCTGGTCACAGGTGCCTGCTGCTGGCGGCTGGCGCTGGTGCTGGTGCCTGGTGCTGGTGCCTGGTGCTGGCGGCTGGCGCTGGTGCTGGTGTCTGGTGCTGGTGGCTGGCGTTGGCGCTGGTGCCTGGTGCTGGCGGCTGGCGCTGGTGCTGGTGCCTGGTGCTGGCGGCTGGGGCTGGTGCCTGGTGCTGGCGGCTGGCGCTGGTGCTGGTGCCTGGTGCTGGCGGCTGGCGCTGGTGCTGGTGCCTGGTGCTGGCGGCTGGCGCTGGTGCTGGTGCCTGGTGCTGGCGGCTGGCGCTGGAGCTGGTGCCTGGTGCTGGCGGCTGGCGCTGGTGCTGGTGCCTGGTGCTGGCGGCTGGCGCTGGTGCCTGGTGCTGGCGGCTGGGGCTGGTGCCTGGTGCTGGCGGCTGGCGCTGGTGCTGGTGCCTGGTGCTGGCGGCTAGCGCTGGTGCTGTTGCCTGGTGCTGGCGGCTGGCGCTGGCGCTGGTGCCTGGTGCTGGCGGCTGGCGCTGGCGCTGGTGCCTGGTGCTGGCGGCTGGCGCTGGTGCCTGGTGCTGGCAGCTGGCGTTGGTGCTGTTCCGCCGCCACTCCCTTCCCCTCCTCTCTCTCCTTTCCACAGCGTCCCGCCGCCACTCCCTTCCCCTTTTCCCTCTCCTCCCCATGGGGACCGCCGCTGCACACGCAAACAGTCGCGACGGGGGGGGTGACGGGCAGGGGGCGGGGGGAATGCGACGGGCAGAGCGGGCGAATGAGCGGCTGGGGCGATCGCCGGTGCTCTGGCGATCGTCGCTGGCGTTCCCCCGTCACTCCTATCCCCTCTTCCCTCTCGCCCCCACAGAGGTCCGCCGCCACTCCCATCGCTTCTTCCCTCTCCCCCCCACAGCGACCGCCGGGGCGACGGGCGAGGTGCAGGCTGGCGCTGGCTGCAGTCGATGGCGCAAACGCGATCGCGGGCCGCTGGCGACTTCGCTGGCGGGTCGCTGGCGGCGGGTCCGCTGGCGTTCGCCATAGCGTCCGCCGCGCCCGTCGCGCTGAGAGCCGCAACGAGGCAGGCGACGACGATGCGACGGGCAGGCGACGGGAGGCAGCGCGAGCAGCAGGAAAAAAAATATACGCAAGGTGCGGATTTTGCGCCACTAACTGTAGCAGTCGCGAAATGTGGTGGGCCCATAAACGAAATAGGTCCTAGGACGGACCGCTCTGTTACCATGTCACAATCCTAAGTTAACTAGGAACCGGGTTTAGGGCCTAGGCTTAGAAGCCTAGGCCAAGCGGGTGTCGAGAGAATCGTGGCCAAGAGTAAGTGAGAATGTGTGTTGTTCACTATAGCACACAAGGTACATATAGCAAACTAGCAAAGGTGCACCACCAACAAGGAAACATAACTACACTAGAGCTAAAGCTACAGGCAGGTATAAACATATATAAATATATATCGCGACAGTGCGGTAGGGGAAGAGACGGTAAAAGGGAACCGACTCGTCGAACGTGACGTCCTGAGAGGGCAGGACACGACGCGAGGTGGGGTGGTAAAACTGCCAGCCAGGCGCGTCAGGGGGAAAACCAAGGAAGACGCAGGGAATCGCGCGGGCGGAGAGCTTGTCCGCGGACGTATCGCGTACAAAGGCACGAGATCCCCAGACCCGGAACACCGACGCATCGCCAACCTCTCCCGTCCAACGCAGTGTCGGCGAGGTCTCCGGCAAGGAGACACGAGGCCAGAGGTTGAGCTGATGCGCAGCGTATCGAACCGCAAACGGCCACAGAAAATGGGGGGCAGCCGCATGGATCATGGAGGTACGAGCGACCTCCATGACTAAGCCAATGCGGCGCTCAGCAACCCCATTCTGCTGCGGAGAGGCCGGAAGCGTGAACGACTGGCGAGTGCCCTCCCCACGACAAAAGTCCCGCAGAAGGTCGGAGGCAAACTCACCACCTCTGTCAGAGTGCAGGCGCAGGACTGGAAGGTCCGTCTCGAACCGCTCGCGGAGCTGGAGACGGACAGCGCGGATCCAAGGGATCAGAACATCAGGGACCCCCCCCTTGCTGCGCAAGGGGAAGACCGTGGTGTAACGCGTGTAGTCGTCAACAACCAGCAAAAAGTAGGTGCTGGGCCCCACACGTCCATGTGGAGAGTCTGCAGGGGAGCAGTCGTCGGGGGAAACGAGGAGGAGTGAGGAGCGGCGCGCTGCTGCCCCTCGACACAGGGAAGGCAGGGAGGGGCAGGCGAGGGTGGGAGGGGAGGCAGAGTCCTGGGAAGACCAGAGACAATGAGACGAGAGTGCATGCCACGGAGCGCTGCACTGAGGGGTGACCAAGACGGTGGTGCCAAAGGAGGGTCTGGTGCGACAGAGCGCGACACGAGCAGGGGGCCGCTAGCTGACCTGACGCAGACGCAGACGCAGCTACCTGAGGAGACACAGTAGTCAGTGTGTACAGACTCGAGCCAGGCGCACGGGTGAACGTGGCCAGGTGCCGGCCAGTCCGGGAGCACGTACAGATCGCCACACGCTGTCCTCCTGGAGTAAAGGTGTCAACCCATACATCCTGAAGGACGGCGTTGCTCACCAAGTTCGTAGAGAACGAGGGGAGGTGGAGACCTGACAGTGAGCCAGACGGAACCGCCGGACAAGGCAGAACAGTGGAGAAACGAGCAAGGACTGGGCCCCCAGAGGGGTCAGCCAGAGAGACAGCAACAGGTGCAGAGAGCGGTGTGACCGTGGTACTGTCGCGAAAGAAACAGCGGGAGGCACCTGAATCAAGTGTGAAGGTGTGCAGGGCCGCAGCAGACGCAGTACCAGAGAGAGTAGACTGACCAGCACCTAGAGCAGCAGACTCACTAGCACCTAGAGCAGCAGCCTCTATACCTGGGTCTGGTGGCATACACAAGTAACATTCACCCTCAGCACTAACGGACAATGCATACATGGCAGAAAGGATAGCATCATAATCAAGAGCAAAGATGTCTACACCCTGCTTAAGCAGATCTGCCCAGTGGGGGAGCTCAGCCGCGTCGGGAAACTCTGTGCGGAAGGCGTCGGTAAGACGAGAGAAGCAGCGGTACTGGGTGTGGAGCCTCCCGCATGTCTGACCAGTGCGGTCACCTGTGCGAATGACATACGGGCAGGGGCCACTACCCCCAGCCGCCCCACGCTGAGCAAACCACTCACGTAGCTCCTGGGGCGAAAGCTGACGCTGCTGTTGCTGCCTCTGCCCCCTCCACCTCCTCCACCGCCCCCACCACCGCCTCCACCTCTGCCGCCCCCACCGCCCCTGCCTCCCCTGCCCCTACCGTTGCGGCGCCTCCCACTAGGGGCAGACGCGGCTCCTACCTCCTCAGCACGAAGGTAGTCAACAGCTGCAGCAGAGGCGACTGAGGGGAGAAGGGGGGAGGGCGAACACCCCTCAAAGAAGGGAGTGCGAGGAGTGCCACGAGAAGCGCCTACAGCGACTATGCTAGTCTCAGCTGCAAGGAGGTGCTTCTCGAGCAGGTCGACAGTGAGGGTGGTGGGGTCTAGGGCGAGAAGGAGGTCCCTGACAGCACTAAGAGAGTCAGGGAGGCGGGTGACTATGAAGTAGAGAGCGATGTACATGGGAGGAGGGTTCTTGGTGAGAAACTCGGCGGGAAGCGCAGCACGGTAGCGAGTGTTACTAGTGCGAAGGTGAGTGACGAGGTCGGCTACTGTGGCAAAGGCGGACAGCTCTGAGAACAGGTAGGGCAGGAGAAGGCGGCCTAGAGTAGCAGTGGCCGGGGAGGAGTAACGAGCGACTACAGCGTCGTACACTGCTTTCGCAGTCTTGTGCTGTCCAAAGTGAGCGCGTTCGGCTAACGGCAGGTGGTTGCGAACGGCTAGGCGAGCAGCAGCGTCACGAGTAAGCCACTGTGAGCGAGTCGTACTGTCAGCTGTGGCGGCAGGGGCGAGAGAGGCGCCAGACGTGAGGTCATAAAGTGAAACTCCGTCCTTGGAATCGCTCAGTAAAAACAGCTGTAAGTCGTCGAGCCACGCATCGAACTCTATCGGGCGGCCCTCCGGATCGAACGTGAGGACACTGAGCGTGGCCATAGCGAGCAGAGCGGTCGGGCGCACTAGCAGCAGAGCAGCACGCAGGCAGGGCTAGGCAGGCGAGCGCGCTAGCAGCAGGGCAGCGCGCAGGCAAGGCAAGGCAGGGCGGCGCAGGGCGACGCAGCAGCGAGCGGCGCACTGCAGGGCAGGCCGCGCGGCAAGGCAGGGCGCGCGGCGGCGCGGTGCGCGGGCAGGGCAGGGCGCGCGGCGGCGCGGCGCGAGGGCAGGGCAGGGCGCGCGGCGGCGCGACGCGCGGGCAGGGCAAGGCGCGCGGCGGCACGGCGCGCGGGCAGGGCAGGGCGCTCGGCGGCGCGGCGCGCTGGCAGGGCAGGGCGTGCGGCGGCGCGGCGCGCGAGCAGGGCAGGGCGCGCGGCGGTGCGGCGCGCGGACAGGGCAGGGCGCTCGGCGGCGCGGCGCGCGGGCAGGGCAGGGCGCGCGGCGGTGCGGCGCACGGGCAGGGCAGGGCGCGCGGCGGCGCGGCGCGCGGGCAGGGCAGGGCGCTCGGCGGCGCGTCGCGCGGGCAGGGCAGGGCGCGCGGCGGCGCGGCGCGCGGGCAGGGCAGGGCACGCGGCGGTGTGGCGCGCGGGCAGGGCAGGGCGCGCTGCGGCAGGTGGCGCGACGGCGCGCGGGCAAACAGGGCGCGCTGCAGCGGGCGGCGCGCGGGCAAAGCAGAGCGCGCTGCGACGGGCGGCGCGCGGGCAGGGCAGGGCGTGCGCAGGCAGTGCGACGCAGGGCAGGGCAGGGCAGGGCGGTGCGATCACGGCGGCGCGACGGTGGGGTAGCGCTACTCGGTGGGCCCTAAAAAACGGTCCTAGGCTAGGACCTACTCTGAAACCATGTCAGCAGAATAAACGAGAATGAATGAACTAGCAAGCAGGTGGGTACAAGTAGGAAACCCTAATTGGGTTGTACCCCATATGGGCTACCCCACTATAGCCTACACAATCAGCAGCATATAAGTTTGACAAGCAGCAGTAGGGCAGAAGGGCAGTGCGGCTCGGTAGGGGCAGGGCAGCGCGGTTCGGGCAGGGCGGCGCGGCTCGGGCTGGGCGGCGCAGCTCGGGCAGGGCACAGTGCAACAGTGCGTGTGGCAGCAGCAGCTCAGGCGCAGCAGCGCGTTTGGCAGCAGCTGTGCAGCAGCAGCAGCGCATGCGGGTAGGGGCACTCGCGGGCAGGCAGTGCGCGCGCAGGCAGACAGCGCGTGCGCGGGCAGACAGCGCTTGCGGTCAGGCAGCGTTCGCGGGCAGGCGGCGCTAGCGGGCAGGCAGCGCGAGCGCGGGCAGGCAGCTCGCACGGGCGACAGGCGGCGCGCGTGCGGGAAGAAAGCGCGCGTGCAGTAGGCAGCGCGCTAGGGCAGGCAGCGCGCGTGGCAGCAGGGCTGCGCAACTCTGTTCGGGCAGGGAAGGGCATCGCAAGGGCGCTTCGGGCAGGGTCGAGCGGAACGACCGGTGGGCCCTAAAAACAGTTAACCTGCTCTTAAACCATGTCGATAGTTAACAGTGCAAGAATGGTTGAACTAGGAACAGTTGGGGTACAAGTACTAACCCTAGAAGTGCTGTACCACTTAAGGTGTGCCCCACTATAGCCTAATAAGCAAAATTGTAATTTGGTGCCTCTCAATATTTGGGCAGTAACAGGATACTAAAAGTTGTTGAACTCAGGGTCAAGCGTTTGACCTTCGAACGAACGAATCGCAGGGTCAACCAGTAAAGAAAAGTAACACGTCGCTTCGTCGAGGGAGTTACGGGGAAACATTGCCCAACCAAGGACTCGCACGAAAATTGCGATACGGCCATACGGATTCCGCGACACGCGTTAGCGAAAATGTTGACTGAGCGCACCGCCGAGTTCGTGAACGAAGCGCGTTACGTAACAAAAACTCGTTACGAACCAAGCAAACTAGTTTATTTTTCACTCCTACGAACCAAGCAAAGAAATACCGAGAAAACTTGGTTTATCTGTCCCTAAGAAACGGGTTAATCCTTTACGCGATGTTGAGATGCTCGGTAAGGAATGCTGAGACATAACTTGCACCTCCTGGGTACCGACTGTTTCTACAGTATTTCCTTCACAACTATGCTTGCTAGCCACGTGGGACACGAGGTTCATGTCTGAGCCTGGGGATTCGCTGATTCCTGGATGGGAGTTTCTCTTCGAACCAATTGGGGCGTGGCCTTTCCTCCCTCAGCTCCATGTGGGAAAAGTGGTGGAAGTGGACGGAACATATGCTTCAGTGTGCCCGA